CAGGATTTTGTATTATGGGATGGTGTTCTCGATGTTTTCCCTATAAACATGGTTATCTATTTTTCAATTTTGGTTGTCAATTAATATTATCTGTTGTAACAGGGAAAGCTTTTTCAGAGGTTATCATAGCAGCAATCCCACGCGATACGTGCAACAAACAACATAATAGTGGAGGCTTAGAAACTCTCTGGGCTTGCCTCTCCGATAATGGTAGTAATGGTAAAATTATGGTCTGGATTGGTGAATTTGTTTTTGGCTCCTTTGGATGTCAATCGAAAATCAGGCTCTCTCATGCGATATTTGGTTGGAAAAAAACTTACTTTAAGAACCAAACTAGCATTGTTGTACGTTTTAACTCATGTAATACTTGTTTAAGTAATCAAGGTTATTTTATTACAAACGTTCCAAACCTTAAGGTTTCAAGATGTAATAGACTCCTCCGAAGGTCAAAAAATGGGGACGTCTCGCTTACATGTATTACACATATGCACTATTGCTTTTGGATTATTATTGTGGTTTTTGGGGGTCTTTTAATTCTGACACACCGGGATTATATTAATATGTATATCTGTGGTGTAAGGAATTGTAGAGGTGCTGGGGGTTCGGACACAGTACAACGTATTAGGGATTTACGACGTCAGTATTTTCCAGATTTTATATTTCTCATGGAGACTAAACAAAAGTTCGCTTATATGGATGTTCTAAAATCAAGTCTGGGATATGACTGTTTGCACACAGTGGAGCCTATTGGCCGGAGTGGTGGCTTAGCTTTAATGTGGAAAGGTTGTTACGTAGTTGAAATTTTGTATAGTGATAATAGAATTATTGATCTCAAAGTGACAATGGGTTCCATGGTTTTTTTTCTCTCATGTGTATATGGGGATCCAGTAAGAGGACGGAGACGTTATGTTTGGGAAAAATTAACGGACATTGGTGTGGTTAGAGATGAGGCATGGATTTTGGTTGGAGATTTTAATGAGCTAATGCATAATGGTGAAAAATTGGGAGGGGCTATTAGAGATGAATCCACGTTTTTTGATTTCCGGAACATGGCTGAAGCATGTAAAATTAGAGAGATGAGGAGTACGGGAAATACTCTTTCATGGGCAGGTATGAGGGATCACAACTGGGTACAATGTCGATTGGATAGGAGTTTTGGCAATGACGATTGGTTCAGACTTTTTCCTCAATCGTCTACTGATTATATGAGTATGTGGCCTTCTGATCATCGACCTATACGAATAGAGTTCGCACTAGAACCTGAAAATTTACAAAGAGGTCGATTTTATTTTGATAAACGTATGCATGGAAAGAGAGGGGTGGAGGAGGCCATTGTTCGTGGATGGGATGTAGAAAATATTAACTCAAATTTAAGTGTTCTTGATCGTATTTCTCGATGCCGGTCGGAGCTTTCTAAGCTTAAAAAGACCAATGACTGGAATTCAAAATCAAGAATCGAACGATTACAGACTGATTTGGACAAAGAGAGCTCAAAGCAATTCCCAGTTTATAGTTTGGTAAGGAGACTGCGACAGGAATTGGCTACGGCTTATAGGGAAGAAGAGATTTTTTGGAGGCAGAAAAGTCGAGAAGAATGGTTACGGGAAGGAGACAGGAATACAACTTACTTTCATAATGTGGTTAAAGGGAAAAAAATACGAAATAAAATCTTAATGCTTAAAGACATTTTTGGTAATGAACATTTTTCTGAAGGGTCCAAAGGTCATATTGCTACTGAGTATTTCAGAGATTTGTTTACAAGCTCAAACCCAAGAGATTTGGAAACTCTGTTTGAAGGATTTGATACTAGGGTTACTTCAGAAATGAACGCAGTGTTAATCAGAGAGGTATCACCCGATGAAATAAAAAAAGCAGCCTTTGGTATCAAAAGTAGTAGTGCCCCCGGCGAAGATGGTCTTACTGGTTATTTTTACCAGAAATATTGGCACATTGTGGGACAGAAAATTGTTGGGGATGTTCAAGATTTTTTTAAAACAGCCATACTCCCTGCTGGTTGGAACCATACACAGTTATTTTTATTACCCAAAATTTTACATCCATCGGAGATGAAGGATATGCGTCCAATTAGTCTTTGCACTGTACAATACAAAATCATTTCTCGCATTCTTTGTGATAGAATGAAAGCGATTCTACCAAACATAATTTCGGATACTCAGGGGGCTTTTGTTGGAGGCAGGCTAATTACAGATAATGTTATTATAGCACATGAACTGGTGCATGGCCTGCGCACCAATGATAAAATTGGTAAAGAAAGTATGGCTATTAAGACAGATATGTCCAAAGCCTATGATCGGGTTGAATGGAATTTTCTTGAAGTTCTACTTGAAAAAATGGGTTTTGATCGAAAATGGGTTGTTTGGATTATGTCATGCATCACCACTGTCACCTTTTCAGTGTTACTAAATGGACGATCTCATGGATTTATTAAACCTGAGAGAGGAATACGTCAGGGTGATCCTTTATCCCCTTTTTTATTCATCTTATGTGCTGAAGCTTTGGTTCATCTGTTAAACAGAGCTGAAGCACATGGAAAATTACATGGTATAAAGCTAGCTAAAGATAGTCCTTCAGTCCATCATTTGCTTTTTGCAGATGATAGCTTGCTCTTATGTGAAGCCTCTATCAAGGATAGTGTAGAAATTTTGGATTGTCTGAAAGTCTATGGGGAGGCTTCTGGGCAAATGATTAATCCTTTGAAGTCCTCTATCATTTTTGGGAAAAACGTAGCCGAAGATACAAAAGAAAATATAAAAAGCTTCTTGGGTATTGACAAGGAAGGTGGTGAAGGTTCATACCTCGGTCTCCCTGAATGCTTTCAGGGATCAAAAATAGATCTTTTAAATTTTATCAAAGAGAAACTAGAAGGCAGACTACAGGGTTGGTACTCCAAAACTTTATCAATGGGGGCCAAGGAAGTTTTAATAAAATCGGTAGCTTTGGCACTCCCAATATATGCAATGTCAGTCTTTCGGTTACCAAAAGGTCTTTGTGAACGAATCACGAGTGCGATTATTGAGTTTTGGTGGAGTAGTGGGGACAAAAAAAGGAAGATCCCCTGGGTTTCATGGGAAAAATTGTGTAAACCCAAAGAACATGGTGGTCTTGGGTTTCATGACATTGGCCGTTTCAATCAGGCTTTGCTTGGTAAACAAGCTTGGCGAATCTGGAATAATCCTGATTCTTTGGTCTCTCGGATTCTGAAAGGAAAATATTTTAAAAATGGAAATTTTCTGGAGTGTGGTATGGGGACACGTCCATCATATGCATGGCGGAGTATCATGCACGGTAGAGAATTATTAAAACAGGGCTTATACCGACATATTGGCAATGGGGTTAATACCAATGTTTGGGCTGAAAATTGGATTATTGACACTATTCCTCGGCCACCAATGTACCGGGAGAATAGTTCCATAAATCTAGCGCTAAAAGTTTCAGACTTATTTGTACAGGGATCGAACCAGTGGGATATTAATTTATTACATCAAACTTTTACGGCACAGGATGTTCAAAGGATCTTACTTCTAAAACCATCACTGTTACTTGAAGATACAATCAGATGGGGTTTCACAACAAATGGCTCATATTCGACTCGAAGTGGGTATAAATTGTTAGAGGCTTTGGTCGACTTTGATCATCCTCCAGAGCACTCTCTCACTCCTCTTGAAAAACAATTATGGAAAGAATTATGGAAGGTTAAAGCCCCACCAAAAATAAAACATTTTATGTGGCGCGCTCTATCTGGTGCTTTAGCGGTAAAACAACGTTTGAATACTCGGGGGATTCCGGTGGACCCAACATGTTCAGTATGCGGTAATGCGGTAGAAAGTATATGTCACGTTCTCTTTACATGTTCGAAAGCACATGCTACTTGGGAAAAAGCTAATTTCCCCATACCTTTAGGTGGTTTCTCTCGGAATTCAACATTTTTAAATTTTGTGCATCTTATAATGATTGTCAAAAAATCAACCACGGATATCCATACAAGGAATGTTTTCCCTTGGTTGTTATGGGAAATTTGGAAAGCTAGAAATGCCTTTGTTTTTGAAACCAAAGATATCGAGGCTTCTTTTATTGCTAAGAAAGCCTATGAAGAGGAATCAACATGGTTTGATACATTTTCAGGAGCAAAGGATAATGTTTTGGAGGTTCCTTCTGTAATGATTCGATGGCAAAAACCACCCAAGGGTTTTTTCAAATGTAATGTTGGTTCCTCTTGGTTAAACTCTAACCGTCATAGTGGTGCTTCATGGATCTTACGAGATGAAAATGGGTGTACAGTGATGCATAGCCGTCGGTCTTTTTCCTATATGCGCACAAAGACAGAGGCTGATTTGTGGTCTCTTTTTTGGGCGGTGGAATGTGTTCACAATCTGCATTTCTCGAATATCATTTTCGAGACTTCCTCTGAGACCCTCCAGGACGCACTCACACATCCAAATGACCATCTCATTTTCAGCCATATTCGTCACAATATTTCTTTCCTCCTCGCCAGGATAGATTCATGGAGTTTAGACCACGTATTTCCGGAGCGCAATGAAGCAGCAGACGCTATTGCTATAAGTGTCACTCGCGATAACCGTCACCAGTCCTACATCGCCCGTAATGCACCCGTGTGGCTACATCACCTACTTGCTTTGGAGGCTCAGATATCAGGTTTTGGGTGAGGTTTCTTTTTCGTTATCCGTTGATGTCTAATGATATCTCCTCTTTTTTTGTTTTTCCCTTTTGTACTATTTTGGAACTGTCTTTGTACTATTGCACCAGTGTTATAAAAAAAAAAAAAAAAGAATAAAATGGTATAATTCAAAAACACAAAATAAATTCATTAAAGAGAATGTTTTTGTTTTTAATGGTATTGATAAGTGAAGAAGGCCCATCTCTCTATAATAGATAAGCACAAATATGATCCATTAACGGCCCAAACTGATCCAAGATCATAAAAAGACCGTGGAACTGCGAGACAGACCAAGAACCCCAATCTCAAAAACAATTAGAAACGAGGACAGAAGAAGATGATGAGGTTCCTGGGAAACACGTTGGCCAAGGTAATGGAGGGATCTTATTATTTGTCTGTATCTTTGTCTTTTGTCGACTGAGATTGGAAATGGAACATTTTTTTGCAGTCTTGCGGCAAGGGGAGGCTGAAGGGTCGTGATTTTTCAACCGTCGTTGATAATAAAGGTATCTATCTCATTTATTTTGTATATCATCTGATTTGCTTCTAATTGGTAGTTGCAATCAAATTTGTGTGTGTTAGTTGGGATTAGGGCCGGCTCCAAAGTTGTTGGATACGTCTATAAAGGGGCGTTTTGTGGTTTTGGATACGTGATTGGTATGTGATTTGTTAGCATTTTGTTTGTTGACAGTCTTGTTCCCTTTTAATTAACATTGTTCGTTTGGTTTCTTCAAGGTGGCTTGACAACAAGCTCCGTCTCGAAGCAGGTTCAGGAAACTGAGGAGGTAGTGATTTGCTGCATTTATCTCTCTCTTTGCTACATAATGATGATGATGATGATGATTCTTCTTCTTCTCATGTTGTTTCAGAGTCTGTTAGGAGAATTGAAACGTTGGGATGAAAAGGAAGCCGAACGTTTCCCGAGTCCTGAATGAAAGAATGAATAATATCTAATTACTTTTTGTGTGTGTGTGTCTCTCTCTGTAATATCTCTAATTATCAAAGAACTAGTATTATTGCCCATGCTATGCATGGGCACATTTTATTTTTAATTTCGTATATTAAAATAAGAATAGATTTTTAAGTATATGAGTATCATAAACATATTAATATAAGTGTTACTTATCATAAATGTTATAAGTATATAATCATCTATCTAATATGATTAAGATATTTAAATAATTTTCACAATAAAGTGAACAAACACTATGCAAGGGTTCAAAAGGAAGTTAACATCATTATGCTAATTATGGTTCTTCAAAAAACATTGATCTTCTCTATAATATTTTGTGACAACTTTAACAAATATAATATAGAAATGAGACTAAAAGAATTAATAGTTTCATATGTCCTATATAAACGCTTATTGTAGAGATCCACACAATATGAAAATATATTTAAGCAAAGTAAAGGATGAAAGTATATTACCAAACACCATATACAAATCTGGAATACAAAGCCGCTGCTTTAGTGACTGTATTAGACGTGAACGTGATCATTGATCTTGTAAACGCGACCACCATTTACCGAGTTGTAAAAAACGCCATCTTCTTTCATGAGCCTAGTGTAGCCTCTGCATCTGCAAAATGTATTCGAATTAGGGCATCTCCAACCCAACTCTATTTTTTACTTCAAAATGGAGTAAAAGTGATTATGGAGTAAAAAATGCTCCAACCCCACTTCATTTCTTACTCCATAATGAGATTTACTCCATAAATGGAGTAATCTATTTTTTCTTTGTTCACTACTCCATTATGGAGTTACAAATAGAGTGGGGTTGGAGCATTTTTACTCCATAATCACTTTTACTCCATTTTGGAGTAAAAAATGGAGTTTTACATTGGAGATGCTCTTAGAAAACTGATGAAAGGCAAACAAACTGCAATATAGATTAAAATCTGATGAAAAAGCAGATGTGTTTGCTATAACCATGTAAAAACTATATGAAACCGTAATCATCCTCATGTTTCTTTCGTTGACTCAACTAATGTGGCACCAACCCTACAAAAGAATTTATTTTTGCAAATTTCATTTTCCGAAACGTGCTTTAGTTGAACAATTGGTGTGAAATAGCAAGTTTTCTCGTGTAAAAAGTGAAGTACTACCTAAATGAAACTGAGAAAAAATCATAAATAATAGAACACCAAACTTTTTGATAAAACCCAGAAAAAAGTTTTCAGGAAAAAAAATGATCTAACTGTTAGAAAAATAGCTGTATAACCTACTTTCCGAGATTCCGTATTTATACATGATGGTGAAGATGATGATTAGTTGTGAAAGTGGGAAGTTAAATGAAAGTCGTGGGATGCAAAAACAGGAAGTGTCGTTTTCTTATTTTTACTACAAAAGCTAATTTAAAAAATACTGCTCCATATATAATCAAAATTATATAATTTGTTAAATAAATTTCAGGACACGTGTCATCCACAGAATTGTCAAATGACTTCTGTTTTATATTATAAAAGATGTGGTGGCTAACGGTTGTGGAACAAGTTGTTATTGTCCGTCTCTTGTTTTAATCATCAACAGCAGTACTTTTTTTGTATATAATGTTTCTTTCTGCATCAGCAGCTACCAAATTTAAGAATCTGTGGTGTTCTAGATCATTAGCCACAGGTTAAATTATAAACAAACACACCTTGTAAATTTGAATGGTTAAATATAAGATGATTAATGTTATCTAAGCTTAATAATAATAGAACAACCACACACAGATACAAAGCACAACATAAACTTTTTCTCCAAACAAGTCAACAAGCAAGCATGTTCCAGAGTATACACTTATTACACAGAATGCGAATATAGTCCGAGAGAGACAATATATGCGATTGGGGGAAGAGACTAGACAGAATCGCCTCGGCTTTTCCTATCAGCAAGAGCGGCTTCGACTTCAGCAGTAATTTCCTGAAACATTGGCCAAAACAAAAAAAAAAGTTGAACATTTGTCATATACCAAAGAAAATGATATAAGTAAAAGACTCCTTACCATAGTCTGCTGCGCACATTTATTAAACACCTCATGAAAACGCCTATCGTTCTCTTTCGACAATCTGTCTACTCTGTACCAATGCTCTCTTTTCTTGTAAATATCTGAAAACATGAATTGTGATTCTAGTTATTACATTCTGGAAATCTAATACATGAAGTAAAACAACCATATATATATAAACATACTCATGAAAGTGTGGATACACCATCCACCAATAAAAGCTCCAAAGAGAGCCAAGCCATCCTGCTCCGCCAACCCCTGCTTGACCCTCGAGGACAAAGGGGAAGAATAGCCTCTACGCCAATACTGGAGAATCATCTCGATACAAAAGTCATGAATTAGCAGCGAAAAAGCGGACATATTAAAGAGGAATATCCAATCTATTATTGCCTTTTTGAAAATCGTTTGCGTGTGCTTCATCATCTCTCTCGTGTTGCTGCTGAATTCTGTTGTTGGTGTCAATTTTTTTAGGGTTTGTTTCTGCTTTCCCCCGTTGGTTTCCTCCCGCGATAGGATATGTGTAGGTTTCACAGGCCATTCCTTTTAAATGGGCCCAACTTACTTGGACCAAACACACAATTTGAAACCAATCACACAATTTGAAACCAAACACACAATTTGAAACCAGAATCATCAAAGAAGCTGAAAGAAAGAGATTTATGGTCTCAACGATGATCTCATGAATGTAGGGCTGGGACTTATTATCCAGGATTCGGATCCGATCTGAGATCCGCTCATCCGGGGTGCTCGGATCCGAATCCGGATAGTAAAATCTCGGATCCGTCCAAACCAGATCCGAATCCGGGTATTTTAATTTTTAGGTTTAGATATCCACATCCGTGTTTTTAAAGTATAATAAATTTTATAGATCATCACAAAGCCGCACAATCAAGATAAGCGTTCATGAAGCTTCTCAACTCAAGCTGAGAGGCTCTTTTGGTAGTACTGGTCCTTCGTTATAAGCCATATGGAAAGGTTGCTACGTGAAAGGGCAAGGAGATTCTTCTACTAATTTAATCGTGTGTTAGAAACAAAATACTACTCACCATTTTATAGACGTAGGGCAGTGTTTGTAAACATATTTTCAGTTCCTTTGATCATACCATTATACAAGCAGTAGTAGTGGACTCAGCACTAAGTTTTCTGCATCTGTCTTAGCATATTTTTTTTGTATAATAAGGCGATTGCATACAAGGATCAGGAACATGCTTATATGTATTTTACCCTATGTACATCATTTGTCACTTGGATTCAACTAAGCTCCGGCTAGTATGTTGTATTGAAATGTTTTATGCATCTACAGCAGTGGCGGCCCTGGGCACAAGCAAAGAAAGTATTGGCTTCCGGCCGCCACAGTAATAAATATTTTAGCGGCCATAGTGGTCTTGAGTGTGATGTCTTTTGTTAAAGGTGTAGGGTTCAACTCCCATGCTGTACACATTTTATTTTCGGCCTTTTTTTCAATTTTTGCTTCTAGCCTTTAAATTTACAGGACCGGTACTGATCTACAGTCATGAAAACATTAGTCATGCAGTTTTCCTCTTTCTTTCCTCGATAAATGTTGCATGCAACTTGTAGCTAAACCAGAACTAAAAAAGTATTCAAGCATTTCTTTGTTTTTCTTCCAGATGAGATCTTTCTTTTCTTAATAGAATTTACAGTTTCATCTCTTTGTATAGGTCTAACTTGTTTGCAATATCTCATCTTAAGATCTAGATGAAACATTTATTACGTCTCTCGTCATAGGTTTTACCTTTTAAGAGTTTTAGCCCAATTTTCGGTCCATGTGGCCCGAATCTTGATATTACTCATTTTTTATTGATGACATGATTTTATTACAGTTAAAATTTATCTACAATGTGAACAACAACCTATATTGCATATAAAATTGGACGATTAGTAACTCGATGCATAAATTAAAACAGAGTTGAAAGATAAATTATAATTTTTCTGTAATTTGTGATAAAATTAAGTGAAAATGTAAATTTATATGCTAAGTCTATTATAGAAATAGAAGTTATCATTTTTTGTCAAAATAAGATTGACAATTTTTCTAATTTGGTGTGTTTTGTAATAAGTTTTTGATCTTAAACCAAAAGCACAAGGATAAGTTTTTGATCTCGTCTGTTTTGTCTTTTTTCATATCACTCTCAATTGCCCTAAGTGAAAAAACTGTAAATTTATATGATAAGATTGTTATCAAAATAGAAGTTATCATTTGTCAAAATAAGATTGACAACTTTTCTACTGTATAAGTGGTAGCATATGTTATTGAAATATAAATTCAAATAAAGACAAATGAAACTTTTATATACTTGTAAATATTAAAAAAAATTATTGGCTAAAAATAAATAACATTGAATTATCAAAACAATAAAACTAAGTTATTTACAATACTTTTATGCTTTTAAATCATCATTTTTACATAAATTTTTTATTTAGCAAACTCAACATTCTAAATCAAAATAATTCATTCTAATTCAAAAAGCTTATGAAAATAATATTTATTCATTATTAAATTTCATTGTATTTATTAGTTATCAACATTGATTGATAAAAATAGTCTTCTCAAGACTATTCACCATTCTTTGAGTTATATATTATGATAGGGGAAAATTTCAGTTTTACCACAACTATGATACCACTATTCACTTTCATTTTCACTTTTCTCTCTTCAATTGGATTGCACAAAATTTGCTTATGTTTTCCAAAATTTTTATTATTCATGAATCTTGGTTAGAGAAACATTCTAAAAAGCATAAAAATTGTTTATGTTTTCCAAAATGATTCTGTATAGTGAAGGCAAGCACTTCTCCTCTAGATTCAAGTTTTACAATCCACAAAATCCAGCTTCCTGGAATGAGGCCTGATTGGACTTCTCAAAGGCATACACTGCTCTCATCTTTGCATCCACCTTTGCTTTCCTTGGAGGTTGTTTCACTGTTGCAAAATAGGTTTATGATCCAAGTGAAGACAACAAGAAGTTCCTCTCTATCAGAGCAGACATTGATGTGCTTGAAAAGTCTACCAAATCTCAAGCTATGCAGCCGAGAAACCTAATGACTCTGATTCTTGAGGAACATGAATCATCAAAGAAGCTGAAGAAAGAGATTTATGGTCTCAAGGATGATCTCATGAAGGAGATAGCTCTAGTTGGTGTGGAAGTGAAGAAAGAGATTCTTTTCATCATGGAGAAGGTTGAGGAGATTTCTGCTGAGGAGGTGAACAAGAAGAAGAAGAAGAAAGATTGAAAGTTTATGTGGATTTTATCTTATTTATCTATCATATGTTTTGCCATGATATTAACTCTCTTATAATTTTTTTGTGGATTTTATTAGTAGAACAAGAATATGCATAATATCTTATCTCGTAACACTTTACACTTTACAAGAAGATTCAAGTAAGTCCAGTTCCTTGCCGTGAAAGTAACTAACAGGTCCTATGGCCTGATCACGCTTAGTGATCAATTGGTTTTACTCATCAGAATACATCCTTTCCAAAGATTGTGGTACTTCTTCGTTGACTTGTTTTTGAAGTTTCTTTCAGGAGTAAAGGTTCACCCAAAAAAAAATGAATTATATAGATAGACAAGAGTAGCAAAAGGTTATATGGGAAATAATATCGTTTGTTTATATTCACATTTATTCACAAGGATTATCTTATAAAATAATGTTGTTGCGGTAAAGATTATACATCTTATTGGTTTAGGTACATGCAGGCCCGACTCAATCATACAATAGACCTTGTGCAAATTTAATTTATATGTAAGAATAACATAAATAAATTTATAAAAATTGAGTCCTAAAATTATAGAAAAGAGCCCTAAATTCTATTGAAAATTTGAAAAAAAACAAATTGGGCTCTGTGCAAATACACTTTGGGCACCACCCAAGAACCGGGCCTGGGTACATGTAAAACCAGCGAGGCTGTGTCTCACTTAACAATATGATATTAGCGCAGCTCGTGGATGCATTCATGTGCACCATCTTAGTTATCTTAAGATCTTCGATGGTTAATGCAGATCTTGTCTGCAACCTACATTGCAAGATTTGATTTCTCCAAATATTTAAAAGCTCATTATTGTAATGCCACGAAGTAGAAATATAATATATACATGAAGGGTTCTGTTTAAATACGAGTCATGCTGGATTTTTCATCAAACAATGACAATAAGATCCAGAGTCCCTCGTGGACATTCAATTATTTTATTATGATTCTTTATTTGGGAAGCTGGAAAGAAGGAGGCTTAAGCCTTTACAACTTTACAACTTGATCCAGACTTTGATTTTGTGTCCAGACAAAGACCTTCGGAAAATATTTACATTAGGGTTAAAACTAATGAACCAAAACAGAGAAACAGAGTAACAATATAAGACATAGCATTACAGACAGAGCCGTGCCTGAATAAAAGCTAGTGAAGCATATGCTTCAGGGCCCGAGAAAATATATATTATTATGGGGCCAATTATGACAGAAATGTCTTCCGGCTCTACTGGTAGCAGTTACTACCTGTGTAATAAAAAACCTGGGTTCAAGCCCACACCTACATTTTTCAGTATTTTTACGATTTTTATAAATTGAAAGGGCCAAAAAATTCTCTTGGCTTGTGGGCCAATATTTCTCAGGCACGGCCCTGATTACAGAGTACATATAAATAAATAAATTAAAGTACAAGTGTCAGTTATATAGAGGGTTTTCTGTGTGTTTCATTAGTAGAACAAGAAATGCGTAACATCTTAATTAATAACACTTTAGAAATAGACAATTCAACCAGTTTCTTGCGGAGAAAGTAAGTACAGTTTCTTGTGGTGAAAGTAACAATTTACAAGTCATACGGTTTGATCACGCTTAGTGATTAGTGGGTTTTACTCATCATAGGACATCATTTCCTATGATTTTTATACTTCTTAGTTGATTTACCACTTGTTTCTTGAAGGTTATTTGATGAGTAAAGATTCAGGCAAAAAAAAAAGTAGGAATTATAAAGATAGACAAGACTGTTTGTTTCTAATTCTCATTTACAGATATATTAACATTTCCATTTCCGTACAAAACTTTATAGGCGCAATGACCTAGAAAATGTTAAGAAGTGAGACTCTGTATTTAATCAAAGACTTTGAGAGTGACTCAATTCCATCTTCAAGATCTCGAATGCATGACTCTAGCATCTGCACATCTTCCATCTTCAAAGACTTCTCAGATTGAAACACATAATCCACTCTTGTGAATTCATTTGCATCACCTTCACATGTAGCTTTGTTCTGGCTCATAAGCTTAGAGACTAATGACCATTTTCCACAAGCCTTTGATCCGGACATGAAGCTAAACAGAGATTCAAAAAGAGTAATTGTTACACTTTCTGTTTCTCCAAACACAACCAATGACTTATCCATGCTCTCTTTGTTCTGTCCCATTTTCAAGTTCTTGAGTACTTTTTGGAGTAACTTCTTGAGAGACTTTCTTGTGGCTAAGTACTTCTTGACCTCTGCGGATAAGTCTCCACGCTTCCTTCGTAGAATAGATTGAATCTCTTTGAGACCTTCTTTCATCTGTGACAAAGCGTCTTTGGCGACGTTGCACAAATCCAAGATCATGAGAGATCCATCAAGAAGCTTCTCAATCTGATCTTGAGATAAAGCCTGGTTGGTGATAGATAAGCGGATCATCTTGTCAAGAGAATCATATAAATCTTGAAGGTTGCTTAGTCTTTGGTAAATAGAAGAAGAGCTTGAAGATGAAGAGACTGCCTCGGAAGATCTCAATCTTGTCAACTGCTCATCAACATAAGCAGCTTGTGGGTGTTGTAAAGAGGGAACACTGTTGGAACGTGCATGGAAAGAAACAGCCATTTTCTTGTTTTGAGATGAAGAAAATGCTTTGGTGTTTGTTCTGTCTTTCATTGGCTCTATTGTCAATACATATATATACATAACAATAAAGAAGGTAGTTCAAATCTTGATTCTGATTTGATCACATGAAACTATTTTATAAAAGATTGTAATGGGTAAGACAGCAAGGTTTTGTCTCCTTGAGGCAAATGGTATCAGCACCACTTGCGGATACATTCATGTGCACCAGCTTATATCATAATCTTTTGAAGGTTGGTGAAAATCTTGTCTGCCTCCTACACTACAGAGTTTGATCTCTTTCGAGTATTATTGAAGATCTTGTAGTTGTGTTATGAACTGTAACATACTAATATATGTTGGTTGCACATGAGGTTTTGAGAGTGAATATATGCATGAATGGTGCTGGTATCATCATCTCTAAGGAGACAAGCCTTACTGGATTTGCTTTAAACAAAGCCAATAATGTGTAGAATCCCTCGTGCACATCATTGCATAAAAATATCTAATAATAATAAATAAAATTTCTAAGATTTCCCTATATATGAATGGACTGAAAAAGTGATGAATACAGAAAATGAAAAATTTGTAAGCCTAATATTTAGAAATTAGTAAGCCTTTGCAAACTTTGATCCTCTGTTATATGAATAGAACTCATCGAACACATACAAATCTTAGAAGTTAGAACCGTTGACTCTCTAAGTAACACAATGATCAAACAAATTAGAGTGTCTTTTTTGCTGTGTACGAGTTTGTAAGTAAAAGTTTTAATAACAAGTCTCATTGTTTTAATCTTTGTGGTAAGAACAAAAAAATGAAAGCATTATCTAAAGGCATCTCTGCAACTCACACGTTATTGCAATAATAACTCTGAACAACGGTTGTGTGATAGGAAACAATTAAGTATGCAAATTTAAAAAATAAAATCACACGTTTTAGTGTGTCTGTGTGTGTTATCGTTCACGTGTCAAAATCGATAAATAAGGATCTTGCCTTCATAAAGAAGCCAAGCTGGTCTCGCATTTTCTTATAAAATAGACTTCTAACTGAGATTGAAGCCAGAGACAAAATTTTGTTAATTAACTTTGGACTCTTTTTACCAAAAAAAACTTTGGACTCGGCTCCGATGGGCTTGGGCTTAGGGTTCTACGTATTATTGACTTTGCAAAGCTCTGGGTTTGAGGACAAACGAATATAGACCAAATAAGTGACTAACCAGTTTTCCTTATAACACATAACATACATATGCGACAGCTTAGAAGTACTTATCTTAAGACATTCCTTGTGGGTTGTGAGATCTTAAAGCTGCCAAAGCAGAACTGAAGATTGGTAAAAGCAACTAGAATCAGCAGAACTTGACTTCTTCGGAAGCTGCAGTGTTGGCAAAAGCGTTCATAAAACATTTATTTTTCGATATTTTTTATTGAGTTTTGGATAACATTATAAACATTTGTTTTAGAATGTAGTTGGTCTGATAGGATATAACGATACCTGTGTCCACTGGCGACCACTTTACTTATCGGCGATTGCTGCTTTTGGAACTTTGTCTCCACATAGTAAAGTGCCAACAACCATTAAGTAGTATTGTTGTTGCTTAACTTTGAAGTTGTATTGTTATTGCATTTATATTAAAAACTCAACTTCTTTTTAGATGAAAAATGACGAGTCAAAAGTACTTCCAACTAGTATATCGACCGACATCTAAAATCTTGTAATGCCAAAGCTGACTTATACCATCAAAAATCAAACACCCACTAGCTATATCGAAAACCAACCATGTCTTTGACAATATCTTAGCGTCTCAAAATCAGATAAAACCATTCGTGCTATCATTTATTCAAACCTATAAAAGGAACATACGGTTGTGATAGCCCTTTGTCAGGATAAAAAAACATATGGTTATGATAGCAATTGGTTATTGAAAATGACATAAATATTTGCGACACATCTTTCCGTTCATAAATGCCACAAGAGACAACATTAATATTAATTTCAATCCGAGGCAGAATCGATCCACGTGGAATATCACTACATAAAGCGTTTGTCTGTTGAAATTTTTTCTTTTGAGAAAGTTGTCTAGTGAGACTTTTTTTGTCTGGTGAGACTTTGTTTAAGAGAAAATTAGTTTAGTATGATCAATTAATATTTTGTGTGTAGCTAAATCCATTATCTCACGTCGTGATCAAGCTTAAATTTATCATTATGTATAATGTATGCTTCGTTCGAACTCTGAATAATAAGGTGATGTCTCCGTCCCGTATTCAGAATTAATGACCAAGTTAGGAGGAAATCTCGACTTAGACCAAACGATCCAAAATCTAAAAAAGACGAGAATAATCATAAAGCGGCATACTTATATAGATCAGTTGTTAAGACTAATCCTTTTAAGTTACTAATCATCTGCATGTGATAATTGTTAAGCAATATATAAAACAAATGGTTTACTCTTTTGTCACTAATTAGTTTTAAAATGGAAATTCATAAAATAAATGGTTTACTCTTTTGTCACTAATTAGTTTTAAAATGGAAATTCATGTATCTTAATATGATATCAGAATTCGATCCAAACATTCTAATCCGATCTAATTTAACTCAAAATCAACCCATCGATCTTTATCCAAAGATTTCGAAATCGATATTCAAAAGGTCATTATCTCGAAAATATGTATTGAGAACAAAGATCACACATTATAAATCAGAAAAAATATTAAATAATATATATAAGAGATGAATTATTCATTGTTTCACCGATTGATTTTAAATAATAGTTACTCAAATTTACTTAAATCACAATTTTAAATTATTTAAGTAGCAAGCATTCACATGGCTCACAATTTATGAACCACAACATTTGTTTTCTGCCTTTATTTCCTCGAATAAGATACGTTTAGTTATGACTTTACAATACTTTGATCTATAATCACGAGGAAACAACGTAAAGGAGTTCAAGTTCAAAGCCAACTTGGGAACATATATTTTACATTATAGATACTGTATTGTAAACTGAAGGAAGAAAAATATTACTCGAATATTCTGTAATTATTATATTCAATTTATTATTATAAATAGTGAACGTAGTTATCAATTTGCGTATACGTAAATTCATAATTGTTTACATACACAATATGTACTAGGTGTTTTGCCCGCATATGCGGACTTAATTATTTTTAAATCAATTTATAAAAATAATCAAAATAAATGATTATTTGCATATAAAAAATTCAACCTAAAATATTAAACTTTTTTTACATAATAAAATTATTCACAAATTAAAAAATCTATTTTTTTCTTTAAAGATTTGAAAAATGTAAAGTTTATTTCATTTCTTCTTAATTTATAAAAAAATATAGAAATCTATCTTTCATTTTGAAAATTGAATCGATAAATATATATTCAAAAATTGATCTTACAAAAAGAAAAATATTAGTCTGGGTAATAATAAAATATATTTGAATTTATTTTTGTCAAACACGTATAGTTTTTTTTTTGAATGATCTTTTATTTTATATGATTAATTCATGTTTAAGGTTTAACTATATAAAATATAAATATAAATTTAATTTAACATGTGAGTCCAGAGGCGAAAAATAACTTCACAAATATATATCATTATGTTATATTATTATATTTTTTTTAATTTGAAATAATTACATATTATAATTTTTTCAATTTTCTCTTTTGAATTATATGCAATTAAAATTTTAATTTATGAATATTTATTTATGTGTTTTCTGTTTTTAAATATTTTTTATTAAAATAGTTTTTAAGATAACAACACAATATATATAGGAATTATTATTTTTAAAAAATATATTTTTAGATTATGGATAATTCTTATCATTATTATTAATTTAAATCATTTATCTAATCCAATAAGTATTAAATTTGTTTTTTAATTTGAAAATAATTACGTATTATAATCTTTTTTGCATTATATACAATTAAAAATTTTACTTTATGAATATTTATTTATGTGTTTTCTGTTTTTGAATTTTTGTTAAAATATATTTTTAAGATAACAACACAATATATATAGAAATGATTATTTTTACAAAATATATATTTAGATTATGGTTAAGTCTTATCATTATTATTAATTTAAATCATTTATTAATCAAATAAGTATTAAATACGTTTTTATTTTTGGCTGATTTATATATTTTATTCATTAAGGGTATAAACAATATTAACCACTCCAACTTTTAACGTGAGAGCTCCGTTGCAAAAAATCACTTTGCAAATAATAGTATAGATCTCTATAATATATTTAAAATGAATGTAGTGAATTAGAAACGGGAAAATGAATTTGGAAAAGAATACTGCAAAATTATATTTTCCATTATTTTAATATTTACATATAAATCAGATTAAATATATCCCAAGTGTAACGATTATCGTTTACAAAAAAAAAAAAGTGTAACGAATATTCTGATACCAAATATAGGCTAGCTTTGAACTGGTTACATGTACACCCTAAGTTGCACTTCCTACAAGCCTAACTTGTCAATACCGACGGTAGGAAATGCAGTTAATCCTCACTTAATTAATGGTGACCAACTAGACTTAAAGCTACTTTCAAATATTTTGCTCACAAAATTAAAATGCAAGTAATCCTCACTTTTTTAATAAAAAAAAAAAAAAAAAAAAAAATAAACATATATTTCCTCACTTCAGTTATGTAAAAGTAGATGACTAGATGCCGACTCTTTATAAAAGTAGAGTCAAAAGAAACTCTACCTTCACCATCTCCGACCATCGGGTCAAATTTTTGTTTCGTAACCCAAAACTATTGGGTATATTAAACATGTAAATCGTGTAATCAAAGAAACAAATGAAGGAAGTTCGGCTCAATATTGACGCATGTTTGACTAGAAGGTCAGCAATCTAAACGCAAACCAGTTTAGAAACTTTTGCACCCGACCAGATCCACTTGAGTTATAAAGCCACCACCCAACAAAATCAGAATACTTTGGTTTATACACCTGGGTCTCGCTTTTGAGTATTTTAAAGTGACATAACTGCACACGTCATTGTGCTTATGTCATACTCCTTATCACTCCCAATGTTTATAATCGATTTTTAGTTTCCATCTATCCCACGCTTATTATGATGAATTAGTGATAACATATGATATTATCATTATAGATGCCATGTGCAATTCTTATCTTTTTGGTTATCACTGATTTTATTTGATTTTATTTGATTTGATTTGATAGATGAGCTTGGCCTAAGAAAAATAAATACAATAAAGAAAAAAGTAATTAGAGTTAAGAAATTTTAAAAGACCACTATAAAATACTCCCAAGTAAATTTAATAACGCAGCTTCCCAATTACGCACGTTCCCGATAATTTAACTATATAACCCAGTGAATGAAGAGGAAGAAAGCATAGCTCATTCAATTTGTGGCTGTACGTTGAGAGAAAATAAAGGTTTTGAAAATTTTAAACAATGTCAATAAAACCATTGGCCATATTGTTTGATTTAGAATCACAAGAACGTAGTGGTTCTCCTTCATTTACGTCACAACCACTCTCCAAGGATCCACAACCAACCTCCGACGGAGACGGTGGGCGGATTCCGTTAGAAGAGTGGCTGCCGATCACAGAATCAAGAAAAGGGAATGTTTATACGGCAACGTTTCATCTATTCTGCTCGGGACTTGGTTTACAAGTTCTTCTTCTTCCTGCAGCTTTCGCAGCTCTAGGATGGTAAAAACCTCATGTCAAACTATACTTTCTATAACTTCTCTTTCAATTCTTACTATAATTAGAAACTTTTTTTTTCCCAGGGTATGGGGAGTGATAATTTTAACGGTGGGGTTTGCATGGAAGCTTTACACGGTATGGCTTCTTGTTCATCTTCACGAAGCTGTACATGGAATACGTTTCAGCAGATACTTGAGACTCGCAATTGCTTCATTCGGTAAATATCAAATGCTATAAACGTTTTTTTTTAAAAAAAAAAATAGTTAGCACAAAAAAAAAACTATATTACGTAATAATTTTAACTTACCATTTACGTTGTTGTATAGGTGTGAAGCTTGGGAAACTTCTTGGAATATTCCCTGTGATGTATCTCTCAGGAGGGGCATGTTCGATTCTGGTTATAACCGGTGGGAAAACAATAAAACAACTTCTACACATTATATATGAAGATGGCAAAGTGCCACTTACTACCTTGCAATGCTTCGTGATCTTCAGCTGCCTCGCGGTAGTCATGTGTCAGTTTCCTAATCTAAACTCTCTTTTTGGACTCTCGTTGATCGGTGGTGTTATGGCCATATCATACTCCACCGCAATATGGAGTTTACCTCTAGCTAGTATTCAGCAAAGAAATCAAAACAATGTCTCTTACACTACAAAGGATACAAGTTTCGATACCATTTTCAACGCCATTGGATTGATAGCTATTTCATTTCGCGGGAACAACCTCATCCTCGAGATACAGGTCTTAAAATAATACTGAGAGAAATAGCATTTTTAAACTTATTTATGTGTTTTCAACATAAATTAGGTTAGTATATTGACAAGGTTTTCTTGTGGTATTTTTTTTAGGGTACTCTTCCTTCGGATTCAAAGAATCCTTCGAGAGAGACAATGTGGAGAGCTGTGATGATCTCTCATGTGCTCATTGCGGTTTGTATGTTTCTAGTAGCCATTATTAAGCTAGATGGGCTTCCAACTTAAAACCAATTGGTTTTAAGTTGGAAGCCCATCTAGCTTAATATGGTATCAGAGCCCACGATCCATGCAATCCAACCCGATCCTTATCGATCCAGCCCAAAGTCGGTCCATCGATCCTTCCCCGAACATTCCGAGATTGACGCCAAGGAGCCATCATCTCGAGGGGGCGTATTAGGGACTAAAGTCCCACATCGGTTGTTGGAAGGGATCTCTAGTAATATATAAGATAGATGGGTCAATCCACTTATCACTAAGAATCCCTTCCAACTTCCGATGTGGAACTTTAGTCCCTAATACCAATTGTTGTATATTGGGCATACGGTGACAAGGTATGTCAAAATCCCACACTAACATATATTATTGACGCATATGTGTTTGAACGTTAATATTAATTCTTATATATGATATAGATTCCTGCTACGGGAGGTCCAATAGGAAACTACTTGGAACTTTACGAGCAAGACTACTCAAAGCGAGCCGCTTGTTTCATACACATCACGTTCCTCATCAATTGCTTATGTTCATATCCGATAAACTTAATGCCGGCTTGTGACAACGCAGAGATGGTGTACACAACCAAGAGACAAAAGCCTTGCTCCGTCTTTGTCCGGATGATGTTGCGTGTGTTCTTGTGTTTAGTTTGTTTCTTCGTAGCCGTTGGATTTACGTTCTTGCCTTATCTTGCGGTTCTTATTGGAGCTATAGGCTTGCTGGTTACGTTTACGTACCCATGTTTCATGTGGATCTCTATTAAACAGCTACAAAAGGAAAGCTTGATGTGGTGGTTTAACGTATCGGTGGGAAGCATTGGTGCGTCTTTCAGCGTTTTGTTTGTGGTTGCCTCGGCTCTGCACTTGGCTGATAAGGGTTTGCATGCAAACTTCTTCAAACCCTAAAAGCAGTATGTCACAAGACGTTCAACTAGGAAGCGCTTTTACCTAATGACCACTAGGCTTGGAGTTCGAGGAAACGGCAGCGTAGTGAATCGCCACCCTCTCAACTCATTTATTTACATAAAATCATTATTTTTTCTGGATAAAAAGGATCAACGAAAATATTTAGACTTTGTACTTATGATTATTCAAAGATTTCTTACAAGAAAAAAAGGAATTTCTTAATGATTTAGACTTTGTATAAGATTTCTTAATGACTTTGTACTTAATGATTTCTTACAAATATTTAGACTTTGTATAAGATTTCTTACTTATGATTATTCAAAGATTTCTTAATGACAACCCTATTTATTTTGGTCCAGACCTTTACATGTATATATCTCTCGTAAAAATAATTTAATCATCTCTTATAGACATAATGAACTGATTCGTTGCTGATTTCTATTTATAACTAGAGCAAGACTTCAAGAAATCAAGATTCATGCCAAGTTTATCGGCATGGAAAGTGATGCTGCATCTAATGCTTGTGTAGAACGTAGTCTTGACCAATCGGCCGAGCACATAGGTATTAACCATATGGGCCTGAAGCAGGAGGTAATAGCCCAAGATGATGTTTCAACAGTCAAGCCCACTAACAACACTTCTACAACGGCTAACTCAGAATCTTGTCACATGAGACAAAGCCGGTCAAAGTGTACGAAGCCAGCTCACACCTTTGGTATGCATAACAGATTTGGATGCTTGACTGAGTGTGCTGTCACTTGTTGACAAGGATAGAGGATAAGACTAAGATTGTGTATATAATGTCATGACGTTGTAAGGTTCCATTTTAAGCAAAATAAAACAAAAGAAGTTAAAGTTTTGTTTCATCTTTTACTCTGTTTTCCTCTTTTCTACATGGTATCAGAGCACCATGGAAGACAATGATCCTGTTTCGACACCTTCACTGAGTATCACACAGTGTGTTACTCTCAAGCTCTCTTCTACCAACTACTTACTGTGGAAAACACAGTTTGAATCTTTTCTCTCAAGTCAGTCCCTTCTTGGTTTTGTCAATGGAAGCTCTATACGCCCTAACCCCACTGTCACTGTCCGTGTTGGAGCTACAACTGAAGAGCAAGCTAACCCTGAGTTCGTGAAATGGATGAAGAAGGACCAGCTGGTGATGGCTTGGCTTTTCGGATCTCTTACAGAAGAAGCGTTGAGATCTGTTTATGGGCTCCAGTCGGCTCAAGAGGTGTGGTTCAGTCTAGGGAAGAAGTACAACCGCATCTCAGCTACTCGCAAACTAGACCTTCAACGCAAACTTCAAGGTATGTCTAAGGGTCAAAAGACAATGACTGAGTATTTGAATGATGTCAAGAGTGTTAGCGATCAGTTAGACTCGATAGGCTCACCACTGTCAGAACAAGAGGTTATCTATCGTGCGTTAGGTGGTCTAGGAAAGGAGTATGAATCGATCTGTACTGTCATAGAACATTCGATGGATATCACTGAGGATATGAGATTTGAAGATGATGTGTTCAAACTCGTCAACTTTGAGGATAAGCTGAAACAGTATCATCAACCATCTGATGTGAATCCTCACTCGGCCTTTTACACTGGACGTGGCTCTTATGGTCGAGGCAGAGGAGGTTATACCAACAGAGGAGGTTACAGAGGAAGAGGAAACCCATCTTACTCAACTAGAGGAAGAGGGTTTCAGCAACAGTTTACTGGAGGAAGAACCAACAACAACAAACCAACGTGTCAGATTTGTGGACGGTTTGGACACTCTGCTGCTCGTTGTTACAACCGGTTTGATCAAGACTTTGAAACTCCAGAGAATGTTCACAACGCCCTCTCAACCGTCAAGTTATCAGATCAGGAACAAACCTCAGGACAAGACTGGTATCCTGATTCTGCGGCGTCTGCGCACATTACCAATGATGCATCTCAGCTATCATCGAGTGAGCCATACCTTGGAAACGATCAAGTTATTGTAGGTAATGGCGACTATCTACCTATAACTCATGTTGGTTCAGTAGCTATTCACACTCCTCAAGGTACATTACCATTAGATGATGTACTAGTTTGTCCTACAATAACCAAGTCTCTGTTATCAGTTTCTAAGCTCACTTCAGATTTTCCATGTGAGTTTACCTTTTACTCTGAAACTGTGTGTGTTAAGGACAAGGGTACAAGGCAGGTGATAGCTCGAGGAAGAAGGCATAAGGACTTGTACATGTTGAAGAATTTGAAGTTTCAGGCTTACTACTCCTCGAGGCAGCAAGTCACAAGTGATGAGGTTTGGCATCAAAGGCTGGGTCACCCTCACAAGGATATTCTTCAACATTTGGTCAAGATTAATGCTATTGTTATCAATAAGAAAGGCAGTCAGTTGTTATGTGATGCCTGTCAACTAGGGAAGAGCTGTAAACTCCCTTTTCTATCATCTGAAACAGTTTCCAGTAAACCTTTAGAACGAATACATTGTGATCTTTGGGGTCCAAGTCCTGTTATTTCATCACAAGGTTTTAAATACTATGCAATCTTTGTTGACAACTTCTCAAGGTTTACCTGGTTTTACCCTCTCAAGCTCAAGTCAGACTTCTTTTCTGTCTTTCTTCAATTTCAAAGTCTGGTAGAAAACCAACACCAGCTAAAGATTCAACAGTTTCAGTCGGATGGAGGTGGTGAATTTGTCAACCAAAGTTTCCTAGCTCATCTTGCGAAGTGTGGTATCAGACATCTTCTGTCGTGTCCACACACACCTCAACAGAATGGTGTCTCTGAAAGGAAACATAGGCATATTACTGAGTTAGGACTGACTATGCTTTATCACAGCAAAGCACCTTTGAAGCTATGGGTTGAAGCCTTCTTTACAGCTTCGTTTCTTGGTAACTTACTGCCTTCTTCTGTTCTTCCTGAGAATCGAAGTCCTTATGAGCAATTACATGGTGAAGTCCCTGTGTATACTGCTTTAAGAGTTTTTGGTTGCAAATGCTTTCCTTACTTAAGACCTTATATGCAAAATAAGCTTGACCCCAAGTCCCTACCATGTGTATTTCTCGGTTACAATGAGAAATACAAAGGGTATAGATGCTTTTATCCACCTACTGGAAAGGTGTATATTAGCCGTCATGTCCTATTTGAAGAATCCTCCTTCCCCTATGTGGACATGTACAAGACTTATCAAGATCCCCCCTCCACATCTCTGAGGTCTGCTTGGTTTCAGTCAGCTGATGCTAGTGAGAAAGCGAATGCAGAGAACACTGATCTGCCGTTTGCATATAGAGAAGAAGAGTTCCCACCCTTGCAGAAACCTCACCAACATATGGTTACTGCTCCAGGTACTCCTCCTTCTCCTGTTATTGATCAAGAGGTTCCACACTCTGAGTCTGAAGATGATGTTCAGCAACATATTTCCCCACAACCGGTTCCTGTCCCACCTCTGCACTCTATGACAACAAGAGCAAGGTCAGGCATCATCAAACCCAATCCCAAATATGCTTTATTTACTGTCAAGTCTCCTGTTACTGAGCCTCGGAGTATCAAGGAAGCATTGAAAGATCAAGGTTGGACAGAGGCTATGAATTTGGAGATGAATAATATGTATGAAACAGGCACTTTTGAACTTGTGCCTCCTGAAGTTCATCAGAATCCGTTGGGTTGTAGATGGGTTCATAAAATCAAACTCAATGCTGATGGGTCTGTAAATAAGTTGAGATCACGGTTAGTTGCTAAAGGTAATGAGCAAGAAGAAGGTGTCGACTACCTAGAAACTTTCAGTCCCGTGATCAGAACCGCCACTATCAGACTTGTTCTTCACGTTGCTGTTACTAAAGGTTGGAAGCTGAGGCAACTGGATGTCCAAAATGCCTTTCTCCATGGAGATTTAAAGGAGAGTGTGTTTATGGTTCAACCTCCGCTGCGCCAATATCATTTCCTGGTCTTCCAAGAGACATGACAGTGTCTCTAAATCCTCTACTGAAGCTGAGTATAGGACGATGTCTCTGGCTGCTTCTGAAGTTGCTTGGATGCAGAATCTCTTGCGTATTATGGGGCTGCAACAGAAAGTGACGCCATTACTTCTCTGTGACAATCTCTCTGCTGTGTGTCTCTCAGCAAACCCGAGGTTTCACAAGAGGTCGAAGCACTTTGACATTGATTTCCACTATGTTCGAGAACGCGTCGCCATGAAAATGCTTGAAGTCAAACACATTCCAGCTCCTCTGCAAATTGCTGATATCTTTACGAAATCCTTGTCACATGAGACGTTTGCAAAGCTCCGAAGCAAACTGAGTGTTTCCTTGCTCTCCACACTAAGTTTGAAGGGGAGTATTAACCATATGGGCCTGAAGCAGGAGGTAATAGCCCAAGATGATGTTTCAACAGTCAAGCCCACTAACAACACTTCTGCAACGGCTAACTCAGAATCTTGTCACATGAGACAAAGCCGGTCAAAGTGTACGAAGCCAGCTCACACCTTTGGTATGCATAACAGATTTGGATGCTTGACTGAGTGTGCTGTCACTTGTTGACAAGGATAGAGGATAAGACTAAAATTGTGTATATAATGTCATGACGTTGTAAGGTTCCATTTTAAGCAAAATAAAACAAAAGAAGTTAAAGTTTTGTTTCATCTTTTACTCTGTTTTCCTCTTTTCTACAATAGGCTCGTGATCGCAACGTGAAAGTCAAATTCAAAGGCAAAACAACTTGGTTCGGTTTAGCTCGTTGCGCATATAGAGCCGGTACGCTTCCGTACAAAGGAATTTGATTGCCTACTACATTGGTCTCGATGATTCTCTCGGTCTTCCTACGTTGAGAGAATTTTTCCATCTTTTTTTGCTCTCAATTAAAAAATAAAAATTAGTTCATGAATCATAACCGGCCCGATTTAATCAGTAAGATGTAAAATTGTTTACCTGACCAGAGGCGAGAATGAGCTGGGAATAGCTGAGCTGGAAGGGAGAGGAGGTAACGTGGACGGTGAAGAAAGTTGCAGGGTTTTTGTATAACATCGTAACCGTTGAATTTAGAGTGAGCATATCTGTCTGCACTCCCGATGCATCGTTCCCTGATTGCACGTTCAGTCTCTCAATTACCATCCCCTGAATATTTTTTTTGTGAATGTACAGAAAACATTTACTTAAATTTTGTTAAATTACAGTTTGTGATGAAAAAATATGTTTACAGAATATTATTTGTTAAATTAAACATAGTCTCAAACGCTCAATGACAGAATGATACTTACTCATTTTATAATACTTATTTTTATTAAGTTTATATATATACACATATTCATTATGGAAATTGCACTCACTAACAAAAGAAAAAACTATAATTCACTAACCAAAGTTACACCCTCTTTCCTATTTTCTCTTCATATTTCTCTATATTGTTTCTACCAAACTATTTTTTCCACAGATAAGCCATATTCATTTTCATGTATATAATTATTTATATTAAATTTTCAAACTCCACAAAGAACACCAATTGTGACATCAGTGTTATTTGATTGTCTTTGTTTTAATATTTTTGATTCATTTTTATAAGTTATATTACATGTTAAGAAAAAACACAATCCTAACGTAAAACTAATTTCGCTTTCCTTTATAACAAAAATAAAATTATGAAAACCGAGAAATAATTTATTTTTAGAAACTGTTAGAGCATGCCCATTAGTAGTACATAGAAAAGATTCACATAGTCCCCCTAAAAAAAAATATAATATACTGATTTTGGTGAACTTGTTTCACATAAGTTCGCCACTAAAAATGGGTTCAATCACTATCTTGTAAGCCCCACGATACGTGACGGATTACGATTGGTTGGTTTATTAAATTTTGTTATTTTTTATTTTTTTAAATCAAACAGAAAATAAAAATAAAAATAAAAATAGTAATTTTGGGAATCGAGTTGAATCGAATTCTGTGACGCAGATGTTCTTATAATTCTCTTTTTTTTTTTTAAATCAGCTAGACTGTTATAATTCTCAAAATAGCAAAATTTATGTTCGGAACAGTCAAAGCTCTATCAATTACCTTCAAAGTGACAACTGGTGAGAAAGATTTGGAAACTCCCCACAAAATGAGACAGAAGATAGTGAAGGCCAGCACAAACGTAAACAACAAGCAAAAGTAAAACCTCGTTTTCCTTCCTCTCCTGTTGTCCGAACCCTCGATTTCATCGTAATCATCATCATCATCCTCGTCGACTATATGGTCATGATCATGCACTTGGAGACTACTGTATCCGTTTCTCAATGGTCCTGAGGACCGTAGAGTCGAAGGTGACTCGGCTACAAGCTCATGGTTGTAGTGACTGACCTGGCCTTGTCTGTTAACGGGTGATCTGAACGGGCTAAGACCCGAACCGGTTGATATCTTGTCTACGTCTGTGTTCGATGGGCTCTGCACAAAGTAGACCGGACTTACCGTCTGTGGCAGAGAAGATTTAGCCGGCCACGTCGTCATCTCTTCCTATTAATTATAGGCCTTTCCCAATAAAACTTTTGATTTGCTTTAGAAAGTTTAAAATATTTTGGTTATGACCTTGTGTGTAGAAGGTAGCAAAATGAAATGGGAAATAAGTGCAAGATACATTTCTTTCGAGAGTAACAGATGATGCTGACCAAGAAAAGAAAATTGTAATCAAGAAAATTCAAACTTAAATAAAAACAATTAAATGACCAATCAAAGTGTGTGTTTTGTTACAAATAAACTATATTTTATATTATTTTCTCTAATAAAGCTGTATATTAAAAATCTATAGATCTAGTGGATCGAACTATAAAATTGTATTCGGTAGTGTTGTTTGATTTACCATTATAAGTTACGCGAAATGATTAACATATTTTATATCATCATATCTTAAAATGCAAATTAGATCATATACAAAGCTTAAGTATTATATTATCTGGTCAAAATTGTGGGGGAGACGAAATGGTCGACTGAAACGCTCTATTCTGTCATTTATAGTTGGAAGAAAATGTTTATTTCTTATAGGTTGTTGTTCCTACACGGAAAATACAAAGTCAAATAAGCTTTCGAACAAAAAAAAAAAGTCAAAAAAATAAAAAATCAAATAAGCCTTTCATCAATTTTTTTTTTTTGTCAACGTGCCTTTCATCAATTTAAACAAATATATCTCTATATATACACCTTTCGAATTAATTCCTTACATCTAAATCAAAAAAATACTGTGCCTTCAAGTCGAAAATTATAGTCGAATAATCAGAAATATCTTCGGTGGTCCAGAACATTTTACGCATCATCATGCAAAGAGTTGGTTTTAATTCCGGTCTGGCAATCGGACTCGGTATAGCAACTTGATCTATGAGGTTTGTTCTAAGTTGTCAAGTGTGAATGTTTTCGGCATGTTTTCCGGAAATTCAAGGGATCTATACAGATGTGGCTGGACAGTTTGGTTTATGCACAAAAGTTATGATCAAAAGTGATGATATGCTAAATGTTCTCTGCCTGATGTGGTCGTTAAAATACCTGAAGTCTGGATTGTGTATGACAGAGGCCTTCATAATGTTTATTTCATGTATTGCACCCTCTTCCACCGGTTATACTACTAGCTTAGCTTCAGGTGGATCTGCTAACTAATCTATAATTCAGTAATAACCTTTTAGTACCACATATTTATTTGTTAATATATATATGGTTGTGTATATTCGTGAACAAAGACAATTAAACATACAGTAAAGAGTAAACTTAAATATTATATTTAACTGATCTTAGTTGACTATGCAAGATTCTCTTTGTTAAATGGTATTCCCTCTGTTTCCTATTGAGTATCCTTTTGAAAAAAAAATTGTTACAAAATAAGTGACATTTTCGATTTTTAATATAAAATTTTATTAACTTTATATTGTATTTTATTTTTTGTACTGGTTGAAATATATTTAGATGTATAGATAATTATGTTTTTATATTAAATATATTTAAAATTAATTATTTTTTAATCCTTGTGCGCAAAACTAAAATGACACTTAATATAAAACAAAGAAAGTATATCATATGTCACTTAGAGCATGTCCAAAAAAAAAATTATTTGAAGTTTTCAAAACTCTATATTTGAAGTTACAAGATGTTCATCTCCAAACATAAAACGTCAAATTTAAATTCAGAATCATTTATATTTTATATTATGGTCCTTATATTTATCATAATTAATGTAAATTCCTAAAAAAAATTATAAACAACAGAAACATATATATAAATTATACATCAATATTAATAAAATCTTACACTAAAATATAAATTATAAATACAAATTCATGATTAGATATTAATTACAAGAAAAATATACAAAAATTTGTCTAATTTTAGATATAAATACTAAACTACAAGAAAGTATCTTAAATTCTTAAAAAATTTATTTAGTTTTATGTATAAAAATTGAATCTATAAAATAATTAAAACTAGTTTGAAATACTTATGAAATATAAAATTTAAAGGATTAAAAATATAAACAAAAAAATATTTATTAATTATAAATTTTAGTTGTAATTACAAAGACCAAAATGTAATTAAAAGATGAAACTTCAAATTTGGAGTTTTGAATATTTAAACTTCATGTTTGATGATTTTAGAACATGGATATATAAAGTTCGAATACACATCCGGTGGAAATTGTGAGTGCGGTAGTTGTTCCATTCTAATCTTTGTTTTTTTCATTTTCGATGAGTTTAGATTGTCTTCAATGTATTTTAATATATTTTTTAAAAAATAGATAATTCTATAATAAAATGGGATCTATTTTAAAAGTATAAGTTTTTAAATATAGAATAAAATTAGAATAATACTACTTTTCCTCTATAAATAGGATAATAGATGAAAATGTAATAATCCATATTTTAGATAAATAAATAGAATACAATTGGAGTAGTTTTGGCTCCAAACACGAATGTAGAGATAAATATAGAAATTGGCTAAAGACTCTTTTAAACATTTCAAATTCACAATATTATTTTAGTGTCAAAATCATATATTTCAATGTTATTTCAACATTAAATTTTTTATCTTTAACCCAACTTCGAAACTCTATTTTATTATGATCTTTACACAATTTGTTTTTAACCCAACACTAAAATAGTGTAACTTTTAATGCTGGGTTATACTCCTAGAGTTTTGTGTGAAAATCACATTAAAAAGAGAGTTTTGGAGTTGGATTAGAAATGTATTTTTTCATATATATTCATTCTCTATGTGGTTTCTTCAACATCTTTCTTTAGAAGAATTTTTTAAAAGTTGTCTCCTGCTTCCAAAAATTCACTAGACCAGTTACGTATGCCCTTTTGGATGATCTTAAACGACAAGTTGTGATAACAAAAATCTTTTGGATATTTGAGTCTAGTGGTCCTAGATTATATATCAACCAGTTATCCTTCGTTATCTCAAACCAGTCAGATGTATATCATATATTCTGAAATAGCGGGTAGAGTTCACGGATACAAAGGACTAAATTAGCGAAGAAAATAGTCTTTTTGTGGGAAACATGCCTTTAACATTAATAAATTGTGTACTATAATTAAGAATGTCACGGATGACATTAGTGTCATTTGCTGATGCATACTTATCTTGTATTATTATGATTTATGTATCTACCAAATAGTATAAATTCTAATTAACATATTCACTGAAAAAAATATAAATTATTAAAGTACAACTAGGAAAGGTAAAATACAAAGATCTACCAAATAGTATAAAATAATAATTAAATAATCTGAAAAAGGTTGAAGTCGATTGTTCATTATAAAGATTCGACAACGAAAAGTCAGAATAATTATATCAATAAAAGAAGGCGAAGAACACAATGTAAATCTCACAATTCATTCAGCTACCTACTCCCGTTCCCGTAGTCCGTAAAGAATCAAGCTACAAACATCAAACCATACCATAAACGGTAGATATTACTTTGTTATATTACTTAGAGTTACCCTTTTAGATCGCAAGACAGACTTGGAATAATCTTTGGATTCATAGGGTTTCGGTTTACAAGTTTTATGAGATAGAAGCAATTGGATAAGTGAGAAGTATACGCAATCTTCTTTTCTTTTCTAACACCACCATATGCAATCTGATCAAGGTAATAATGTTTCTTGTTTTTCCGTTCAAACGCGATTTGTAGTCTCATGGACAAGCTGGAAAAACATAGGATAGAGAAAAGGAATAAACATTATTTGACAAGTAATTTTTAACAACCTTACTTACTTGTCATCACTGTATTTACTGTGTTATAAAAGAAAAAGAACTGGCTTGATGAAAAATATAACATGACATTCTTTTACTATAACATGTACAATTATAATGATAAAAAATGTTTTCTTTTGTAAGATTCAAAAAATGAGATAATAATAATTAGAAACATGCCATATATGTAAATCATCTACATTATTGTTTTTAAAAATAAAATAATATAATTGAAAGTATAAGAAAAAATCACGTCAAATTAGTATAAAATATTAGCCAATTTATTATATATATATATATATTTCAAACTAAATGTAAGTATTTCTTAGCAAATACAATAAAAAAATACAAAACAAAAATAAATTTAATTAAATCATATTTTATGGAAAGTTGAATACATGAATATTCAAAATTTAACAAACACTACAAATTATTAATTTTCATTGGTCGCGAGTGGGTTAGTGTAAAATATGCACTAATCGATAAGATAATATGATAACAAACTTGTAAAAAAAATTATTTAGATATATATTTATTAAAATCATAAATTAATAATAGATATATATATATACATTTTTTATAAGTACCAATAAAAATTACATTTTTTTATATTCACAGTCAAATCTATTGCTATTTTCTTAACATTTTAAAATATTTGATAATATTTTAATAAAATATATTTAGAAACACATTTATATTTTATACATCATAGTAAAAAGACAAAAGATGAATTTATAAAATTCAGTCAATATATAAAATGTCAAATCAACTTTTATTTTTATTTTTAACTCCAAAACATAGAAATATAAAAGATAATAACTCTATAAATTAATAAAAATATAGCTCAAATATTATTAATTTATAGAAGGCTACAATATATAAAAGAAACATTAAATCTATAAATATGATACAATACCTCAAAACGGGTTTGTTATGAAACAACATAAGTAGAAATAAATAAGAGAATTTTTTTTTATTTGTAATTGGTAAGTGAAATGATTATAAATTTTCGTTTCTATAATTTTTATTATAAAAAGAGTTATAAAGAATTGTTTCTGCATTTTGCGCATGAAACTACCTAGAAAAACAGTACGTTGGCAGAAACAAATCCAATAATAATATCTCAAATCCTCCTCTGAAATTTCTGTGTGGGATGCCGGGGAGAGAAGGAAATGTATCGAGGCGGTATTTCTTGATCGTGAATATTTGAATAGGGTGAACAATTCCCAATGGATACCAAAGGCGTCCTTGGAGTGATTTTGTAGTTTCTATGGGGTAGCTCTGTAAATTTTATGTTTCTACGGCATGACAAGATCTACCTTGTATATTTCTATTTTTTGTCAATTATTTTTATAATTTTGAAACATGAACAAAACGATAAAATGATGTTATAAAAGTCTGATTTGATCTTAACAACTTTTTTTGTTTTGGACATGTATATTCAACATCCTTTAAACCTGTAACTGGTTTTAGACTTTAGTCAATGCTAATACGTTACTTTTACATGATTTACTATTTTAGACTCTATTTAAAATAAACATTATATACTCTGTTTATTGCTCAGGATTTTTATCGTATAAATTGTTTGTCAATATTAATGCCTCCCATATATATAATCTTAGCAAATTTGTAATTACCACAGAAACATTTGTATCTTAATGTTTGGTTGTTAGCTAGTAGCCAGGGCCGGCTTAACTTTGTTAGAAATTCTAGGGCAAAAAACTTTTTTTACCTTTTGAAATTTATGTTTTTTCAATATTTGAAATTTTTTTTTGTTTACAATTTAATCAGTAATATTTTGTGATGAAAATAAAACTATATACTTATAAAATATTATTAGGCTCCTTTTTAATTTTAGTTATTAAAATTTTAAATTTTTTCTATATAAAATTATGTGTTTATAAAAAAAAATTAGACGCTTAATCATTAATATATGAGGGGACACAGTCTGGACCCGGCGGTCACACCGTTTGCCCTCAGCCCCCCTTAGCCGGCCCTGCTAGTAGCCTAGTACCATATCCAATATTAAACGAAGAAACATTCAAAAGTGGAGAAAGCAACACTAAACACGATATTTGCGACACTCCTCCTCTCCACCGCGGAGTATATTTAGACATACAATGCGTCGGTCGTTCCTGTATTAACAATTAATATGAATTATAACAGATTTTTAAGTATGTGTGATGATTATGATACAACAACAACACTAATATAAAACTAGCAAATGGTATATTTTAGTTGCAAGACGTCAAAATTCACATTATGCTCAAAATTTAAAGACTTAACGAATGGATTCAGTTTCGATTAGAACATATATCTTTACACTAGAAATTTTGTTAACCCCAATATATTATGCTGAAATATGTTATATTAATGTGTTTGCGTGTGATTATTTTGGGTGAATATAGGATTAAAAACTGATAAGCATAAAAAGAAGAAGAATAATCTTGAATTACCATAAATCGACTTTCATTAGAAATTTCAACGTCATCTACATGTGTGATGTGTGTATAACAGATGCCATTTAGCCCATGAATTTATATACAAATTAAACGTGTCGGAGATATTTGACAGCTATGCTGATATGTGTTCGTTTGGTTAATGAATTAACTATTAAAAGGTGTTACAAAGGGGGTTTTCCTACCAATTTTCTGACCAGTTTAATGTACACTGACCTGACCTGTTTCCTAACCCGTTTGCATCCTTTTGTCTGGACGCTCGACTAGTATTACTGTTTAACATATTTTCCAGGTTACTAACTTGAGACTAATTCCTTATATGGTTTGATAGGAGTCCACACACACACAACACACGCAAAAATAGGGCTGACACCACAGATTCACAGTTTTAGCAGCAACTATATATAAACAAAGACTTAAAGACGAATAATTCGAAAATCAACTGTGAGAAACTAACAAAATCAACTAACAAGTGGTTAGATCTTCCCTCATAAAAATTTCTAATAATTGAATAGTTATAGTTCTTGAATGTCATTGGAACAATAAATCCACATTTTAAATATGTGGGTTCTTCCTATGTGGTCCAGAATTACTATTGTCTTTCTTTTTTAAACATACTACAAGCCAAAATTACTCTACCTTCTCTTACAAACCAAAATTACTATCGTGTCCTCATTCTATAAACACTATAAAAAAACCCTAATCCCTCAGACCACAAATCACTCCTCTGCTCTTAGAAACGAAATGGAAGTTAGTAAAAGAAACTTATTAGATGAAGAAGCTAAAGCTTCTTTAGACATTTGGAGATATGTCTTTGGCTTTGCCGATATAGCAGCTGCAAAGTGTGCCATCGATCTCAAGATCCCAGAAGCCATTGAAAACCATCCGTCACAGCCAGTGACACTAGCCGAGCTCTCCGTTGCAGTATCTGCCTCTCCATCACATCTCCACCGTATAATGAGGTTTCTTGTCCACCAAGGAATCTTCAAAGAAGTCCCCATAAAAGATGGTCTAGCCACAGGCTACACTAACACACCACTCTCTCGCCTTATGATGATCACAAAACGTGGCGGCCAGTCTCTAGCTCCTTTTGTTCTCTTTGAAACAAGTCCCGAGATGCTAGCTCCATGGTTAACACTGAGCTCAGTTGTCTCTTCCCCGGCCAACGGTTCACATCCATCACCGTTTGATGCGGTGCACGGTAAAGATGTGTGGGCTTTAGCAGGGGATAATCCATGCCTTAGCCATATGATCAATGAGGCCATGGCTAGTGACACAAGGCGTGTGGTGCCACGTGTTGCCAAAGCTTGTCACGACTTGTTCGAAGGCGTGGCTACGGTGGTGGACGTAGGAGGCTGTACCGGAGAGACGATGGGAATATTGGTTAAGGAGTTTCCTTGGATCAAAGGATTTAACTTTGATCTTCCTCATGTTATCAAAGTTGCTCAAGTCTTGGATGGTGTTGAGAATGTTGGAGGTGATATGTTTGATTATATTCCCCAATGTGACGCCGTTTTCATCAAGGTTAATTTCATTTACTTACTCTACTATTCAAGTGTTTTTCTTTTCTTTTTCTTACATCTTTAAATTGGTACTTAACATCAAACAGACAAGACTAAAATGAACTAATATAATATATAGATTAAAATATGATTTTTTGACCAAAAAAAAGATTATGATATGTTTTTTTTTTATTTGTATATCGTATAACCTTTGTGTCTATCTCATATAACCTTTGTGTCTACTACATTCTTTTGTTTTGATTTAGTTGTCAAAGTCTGTTTGCTTTAGTATTGATTGTTCTCTCGTTTTATAATGCCTTATTTTTTAGTTTATTATTTTTATATATATATATATATATTTTTTTTTTTTTTTTGTTTGTGTGTGTGTTGACAGCATGATAAAAGATATGATCTATTTTAATGATACATTTTTGTTATATATATATGAAGAGACTTTATATACATAAACGAAGTGTTATCCAAAATAATAACATGATAGTATACTTTTAAAACAATTCTTGCAAAATCCATATTACGGGTTTTTAGAAAATATGTAGTATAATCTATTATATTAAAAGAGAAGTCACAACTTCTCTTCATGTGTGATTTTTTTAAAAATGGACCCTTCCTTAGAAAAGTTGTAACTTTGGGGGTGATTGGTTGGGTTGTAAGTGCTGACTTTAGCTTTAATTTTTATCTACAGCACTTAAATCACCAATCATGATTTATCTTATTTTTTAAAGCTACAACAAGAAACTAAAAAAATAATCTATTATATTAAAAGAGAAATCACAACTTTTCTTCATGTGTGATTTTTTTTAAAAATGGATCATTCCTTAGAAAAGTTGTAACCTTGGGGATGATTGGTTGGGTTGTAAGTGCTGACTTTAGCTTTAATTTTTATCTACAGCACTTAAATTACCAATCATGATTTATCTTATTTTTTAAAGCTACAGCAAAAAACTAAAAAAAATGGTTGTAAAATCCTTATTTTCTAAAGCCATATTTTTTTGTTGTAGAAAATATATTGCTGTAGCATAAATTTTAAAGCTACATTTTTTACAACTAAATCAAAAAATGCTACAGACTATTTTCTACAGTAAAACTTTTACAGCTACAGTTCAACCAATCATCCCCCTTATCTTTTCTATTTGTATAATAAAATCTTAACAACTATATTTAATTTCCATTTTCATTCCCTTAATACATAAGAACATCTTAAAACTAACAATACATTTATATAAACATTTAAATATATGTTCAACGTTAAAAATATATATTCATAAAATAAATAACATATGTATATAAAATTGAAAGTAATACCCGCGCGGTTGCGCGGATAAAGATCTAGTTTGTAATTAAAAGGGTGAAATTGAGCTATCTAGTGTATATTCTCAAAAAATATTTAGACAGGCATTTTCCCCAAATTATATCTTAACAACTGATAATCTTATTCATTTTCTTTTATTTGTAAAACTCCCTTAAAATTATATTTGCTAATATAAAATTCTAAGGTTTCAATCATATTTTAAAAGCATGAGATTGATCACTAGTAATATATAAATACATGGACTAACACGTAAAATGTGAAAAATGACGACAGTGGGTGTTACATGACTGGGGAGACAAAGATTGCATAAGAATATTGAAGAATTGCAAAGAAGCTGTCCCACCAAATATCGGGAAAGTGTTGATCGTGGAATCCGTAATAAGGGATAAGAAAAAACCGATGATTGTGGAAGACAGGGATGAGAAGTTAGAGCATGTGAGATTGATGCTTGATATGGTAATGATGGCTCACACGAGCACAGGCAAAGAACGGACTTTGAAAGAGTGGGACTTTGTTCTTAACGAAGCTGGTTTTGCTCGATATGAAGTTAGGGATATTGATGATGTTCAGTGTGTTATCGTCGCGCACCGGTAATAGATAGAAGATATATGAAAGGGTTGAATGAGAATAGCTAAGTGTGAATGATTGTGTTATATCAGAATAATCAAGGATGTTGTTGTGTTTATTGTGTGTTGTTTTTTTTATATTTTCACATGTTTTTTTATCATTCTCGTTGATTAAACATTTTCGAGAAAAATATATGTATTGGATGGATCTATTTCCTTTGAATCTGAAATTATATATGTTAATCTTTATCTTTGTGTTCTAATAAATACAAACTTGCTTTATCAAACAATTTCAAAACTGTAAAACGAAAATGAGCATCTGTGTTTACGTTTTGCATTCGTAAGGATGACTGAAAAACACTCTTACGGTTTTACCTAATGACCACTACACATAGAGTTTTAAAGCGTATTGAATCTCCACCAACTCAACTAATTTATTTACAATGAATGATCCACGGAAATATTCAGATTTTGTATTTATGATTATTGGAAAATTTATCACAAGAAAAATATCAAATATCTAGTAGTATAAATAAATTAATGACAAATGGTCCAGACCTTTACATGTACATATCTCATAAATGTAATTTAATCATCACTAATAAAAGCATCCATGACTAAGCAAGACTTCAAGAAATTCTTGCCAAGTTTTTTGTTTGTGTGAGTGAATTCTTGCCAAGTTTATCGCCATGGAAAGAGATGTTGCATCTAATGCTGGTGTAGAACTTAGCCTTGACCAATCGGCCAAGCACATAGGCTTGTGAAGTTGTGATCGCAACGTGAAGTCAAATTCAAAGGAAAACGACTTGGTCCGGTTTAGCTCGTTGCCTACTATTTTGGTCTCGATGAATCTCTCGGACTTCCTTCGTTAAGAGAACTTATCCATTTATTTAATTTTTTTCACAACCAAAAAGACGAAATGAATTAGTTAACGAATCATAACCTGTCTGGTTTAATCAGTAAGATGTGAAACTGTTAAAAATGTGGGTTCTTCTTATGTGGTCCCAAAATCTGTATAATATTATTCGAGAAATTGGTTTCTTCACTTTATTTTCTTATAGCTTTATTTTTTCTAATCAACATATACTAAATTACTGAAAAATCAAAAATATATTTACACATCTAATATGAATAAGCAAACTAATACAATGAATATAATTAATTCGATTTGGCAGAAATATATTAAAAATAGTTGTAAGTGGAATGTTTTTAATGGAATATATGTAACACAAATACACAATATACCCACAAAATGAGTTAACAGTCCAAGTTATTATATCCAAAATAAAAATTTAACTAAATAATAGTATACTATTATTTATAGTAATATTTTTATACGTATAAGGTACAACACCTCAACATATCTATACTATTATTTAAGAAGTAAATTTGCTTAGTTGTCATGTTCTCCATAAGTTTAGGTGGATTTGTTTATTTATCATATACTTAATATTTATATATACTTTATTTATAAATAAAACGAATTTATATGAATATATCATATTTTTAGTATATAAGATAATTCTTGTGAATTATGTTGTTATCTTGAAATATATTTTTATATATAAGACTTAAATTTTAAATTAAGATATAAACACTATTATATTTATCTAAAACAAATTTATATTAATAATTTAATATTTAAATAAAACTAAAACGAATTTATATTAATAATTTAATATTTTCTAAAATAAGAGAATCATTATGGATTATGTTGAAAATATATTTTCCTATTCTAAAACTTAAAATTAAAATATATTAATTACGATTTAATTAAGATATATTTAATTTTTATATCTAAAACTTAAATTAGTTATTTAATTAAGATATATTTAATTTTATATATAAAACTTAAATTTTAAATTAAAATATAAACACTGTTATATTTATCTAAAACGAATTTATATTAATAATTTAATATATAAATATAACTAAAACGAATTTATCTTAATAATTTAATATTTAAATATAACTAAAATGAATTTATCTTAATAATTTAATATTTAAATATAACTAAAACAAATTTATATTAATAATTTAATATTTTTTAGAAAATAAGATAATCATTATGGATTATGTTCTTATCTTGAAAATATATTTTTTTATTATAAAATTTAAAATTAAGATATAAAAAATATATTATTAATAATCAAATATAAATCATAATTAAATATTAATAATTAAAATAATTATTTGAAAAGTGAATTTGTTGATTTTTCTCCAGGATCCTAGGTAATTTTAATCATTTATCATAATTTCTATAATTTTATTTATTATTGATTATATAATTAAAACTAATTTATAATAATAAATATTCATACGAGAATTATGCCCGCAAGTGCGGGCAAAACACCTAGTTAATAAAGAAATAAGCAGTTCTCAAATACTGTTAAGGAAAAACAATATTTTGAGAAAAAATATTATGGTTAAATCATAAAATAGATATTATCGAATATATTTAAATAATAACTAAATAGACAAGCTACTATATATCTAAAATGTACATCTAATTAAAATAACATAAGACTATTTCAAATAAATCATGCATATTAATTACAATAAAATTATTACTAAAGTATTATAATATATTCAGTTTTTTAAATATTGATATTCATGCATTAGCACGAAAAAATTCACCTAGTTATTATACTACAAGCTAAAATTAATCTCTTCTTTTGTAAATCATAATTACCATCATGCCTTCATTCTATAATGGCACTATTAAGGGGGTATAATAAGAGCAACATTATTGGTTGGGGACAAATCTGAGTCCTTAACATATTTAATGAATATATTGATGTAATGAATATATTGATGTTTAGGACAAATATAAGGATTTTGAAAATTTAGAAGATTATTGGAAGGACTTTTGATCCTGGGAAGAAGAATGAACGGAATTGGAGATTGTCACTACTCGTCTATTTCTCTCCCTTTAGCTCTTGTGACACGTGACATTAAGGACGATATCAAAACATCTGAAAATGATAATCCCCGTGAGGTTCTAGCTCAGAAGTATGCAAAAGCTCAGAATGTTCTCCCTGAAACCATTTTATCCTCACAGATCCTTCTACACCATTTTATTTCTTCTTAGACACAAATTGTCCACTGAAGAATTATCTACTCTCCATCAGTTCGGTGCTGCTAATCTCCTGAATCAGACCTCCTTGCCACTTCACCTTAACCATGCTCCTGACTCCAGCAATTACAAACTCTTATCCTTCAAAAATACATTTACTACCCAGAGCGCAAAACGGTCTACTAACTCTAGGATCGTGTATCCTTTTAACCTCATGATAAAAAATACTCTTCGATGGCTTTTTCTCTTCTCTCAAAGAACTGTAGTAAATCCAATCTACTTCCACTCTATCTACCTTGTAGTTAGTGACAACAAATCTAACTGGATCATCAAATACAAGATCAATCACTTCTTGCCCCACATAATATGGCTCGTTGAGATAAGCTTCAGCCGCATTTTTGAAAATGGGCTCATAAAATTCAGGCTTAGCTTCTAAAGCATTAATTGTCTACGCGGACTCCCATGTCCAATTCCACACCTTGAACTGTACCAAATCATGAACCAAGAACGACGGTGTCATCCATAACGAATCTTCTATTCCACTCCAATGACTATGTTCCTATGTCACGGTGAGCAATCGTTTTTCCATCAGAAGATGCTAAATCAACCTGTTACCAGACATACAGGTTGCCCATGGAAGAAGGGTCTCGATACCACTACCACCTCGTCACTCCGGAGCTCTTCTTTTTCGGCTTTATCAATAGGGAAGAGAAAGAGCTTCTCATCTTCACAGCCCACACGACTAACTTTTCTGTTTCTCTATTCATCACAATATCGCCAAGAAATATCTTCGTTTGCTCCAAAACCCTCTATATACAAACGCAGGAGATTTATCAGCTATGAGCGATGGAAACCAAAACAATTATTAACAAAACAGAAAACAGTATACAATAGAGGTCATCCTTAGGGCCATGTTCAAGTTTTACTTCAACCATTAAAGTACTTCAGTCTTTGATAGTTCACTAATGATTCCAAAACCATCCCACTAAACCTGAACTACCTTTTAAAATGCAAACAACTTCAATAAATGAAGTATCTAGCTCATGAAACCTAGAGTTAAAGAACGTGCTACTCCTCACTAAGGTTTAATAAAACAGTAAAGCAGATTCACACTTACTGGCTGGTTGCTTTTCTGGACTTAAAAAGATGAAGGAACTCTGGGTTCATGCTTTCAAAATCTGGCTCGAGCAGACCAACAACCATGGTCACCAAATATGTTGGCATATTTGGTGACACGTGGTAAGAGATAATCTTACGATTCCCTTCAACATTCTCTTTCATAATAGGCATGTTGGAAACATCAACAAACTCTAAAGGAACTTGGATGGTAATTTTGATTGCAACAACTCAAAACTTGGATAACTTGGGTGATGAAGTAATGGTACTGCAAGGAAGATTTTCCTTTCTCTGATTTGCCCGCTTCACCATACACCCTTACTTGTATACCATCGGAAGTGTGATCCTCAATGGTGTCAAACAGACCAACAAACATGGTGACCAATATGTTGGCATATTTGGGACTCATGGAAAGGTACCGACTTCAGATCACCATTAACCATGCAACTGACCCAAAACCGAACTAAAAATGTACAAGTATACAGTTAGGTCAAAAATTCTATCCACAAAAGTTGAACCGGATAAATATGATTTGAAAGAATTAATATAGACATGTCCTAGAAACACGAATATCTAAGACTATGACTATGTTTTTATTTTCTATATTTTAATTTCTACAACAGTTGTAATATCTTTTTGTTTATAATCTTTACTAATATTTTATAAAATTTACAAGTAATATAAAACTTTAAATATCAAATTAAAGTTGAAAATGTTTAATTTCAAGTATTAATATCGTATTTGTGTTATTTTGTAAAATTTTAGGTAACTATACTAGATTTTGGCTAAATTCTAAAGTTTGTGTACTTCAAAATTTTTTTTTGTTCATAAATACT